CAGCGATTATTCGCAGCCAGGTTTTGGATGACTTGCAGAGCTCCTACTGCTGGAGCTCGCCTTGTACGACTCCGTCCCACCTCCCCCTCCTCCTCCTTCCCCTCGTGCTCTCTTCTCTTACGCTCGCCCCTGCTCGCCCAGAGGGGGGACGTTCGGCATGGATATTATTATTGGACGTAAAGGCTCTTGGGTAAACCTTACGGGGTGGACTTTGTATTGATTTAATTTGGGCAGGAGCAACAGGGGAGTGGCGGGGGCTAGCAGAGGGCACACGGGCCGGGGAGCGTCTTCTTGTAAGATCCAAGAGGACGGCCGAGAGTGCCCGCGCGCGCCGAGACCGAGAGGAGCGGCGACATCAGGCGACAGGGGGGGGGGGACCCGGAAGCTTGAAGTGTGTGTGTGTGTGTGTGTGTGTATGTGTGTGTGTGTGTGTGTGTGTGCGCGCGCGCGCGCGCGCGCTCGCGCGTGCGTGCGTGCGTGTGTGCGACGGAGGCGTTTGCGTGCCGTACCATTCCCCTGCTTGCCCCCATCACCTTCATCCCTCCTCACACGCCCTCTCACCGTTCGGGAACGATTCTGTAAACAGGGGGGGCATTCGAGCAGAGACGTGTGCCGTCGCCGCCGTGCCCGGCTTCTCCCCCCCCCCCCATTTTCCTCATTCGTGTGAAGGTCTTGAGCCGTAGCCGATTCTGTGCCGCCACTTGAGGCATCCACGCGCGGGCCCCCCGCGGGGGAGGGGATAACGTCGTCGTCCCCGGACCGCCCCGCGGCCCCGCAGGCCCTCACGCTCACGAGCAGGCCCTCACTTTATCACCAAGTTGATACGTCGCGGAAAGGCTCCGGGGTGGTGGTGGTGGGTGGTGGGTGGTGGTGGTGGTGGTGGGCGGGGACGGCGGAAGAAAGGCTAGGTGGGAAGAGTGGGGAGGGCGGGGGCTGCCGCCAGCGCAAAGGGGATACTATTTTAATCTCGGCTCCACCGTCGTACCGCGCACCTCTCGCTATCGGGGCGGACACGGGCGGAGCAGAGCGGGGGCGGGGAGCCCCTCAGACACCTGCCCGTGTCTCGCCGACGACCTGCTTGGCTGGTGGTGGTGGTTGTGGTGGTGGTGGTGGTTGTGGGGTTTGGGGTTTTCAAAGCCGCTGCCGTGTCTCTTGGCCGTGCGAGCGCGCTTGCCGCCTGCCTTGCCCGAGCCTGTGTGTGGCACCGTGGCCTGATTTCTCGCAGTGTTGACAAAGCGCTTGTGCCGTACTTACACCCCCGCCGGGCATCCCCGCCGCTTACCCTGCCCCCC